TTTAGTTGGTTGTAATAGTTAGCTTAAAAAAATTAAATTGTTCTATAGAAAGCAGAAAATTCGAAGATGCACGGAAGATAAAAAATACATGCATGCGTGATCAATGCAGAGAAAAACGCATTCCGCGAAGAACACCTACACTTCATCTTCGCGTTTCTCTAATGGATTCGGCTTGCTACTTGAAATCTTAATTTGAATGTACGCAGACCAGAGAGCTTCGCTAATAATAAAGCTCTCTCTCGGTCGGTCGTGAGCATTTCGTTGCAAACACGGAGAGAACGGCACGGGCGTGGCGGAGCGTAATGAACGAGTCACGACCACGACGCGAATCCACTTTGTGCGCCGGACAACGCTTAAACGTTGTCTAAAATAGAAAGTGCCTCTATGCTAAATGCACCCAGAAAGCAGAAAGCTGTCATCTTTAGTTGTATCGTATGAAAATTATAAGTAAAATAAAATAAACTAAGAAAAGTTCAAAAATTTCTCATATTAATTTCCTGATGTTTAATATTAAATATTTTTTAAATTTATTCTGTTGTGTGAAAGAATTCTGTTAAAGTAAGTAGCGCAAGATGATCACAAATGCTTTTTATTTACTTTAGCAATGATTTTAACAAAGATTAATGTGACGCATCGAAGATGGGAGATGTAAGACTTCACGAGGGTGACGAGCTTTTCACCGAAAAGCTCGCGAGAAGCTTAGACCCAAGCTTTCTTGATCAATACTCGGCGTGCGCTCGGCGTCGCCTACGCGGCACTAATTTATCGTCGCTCTCTTGCGCGGACCGAACGTCGTATATTTTCGCACCATCTTCATCCATATTTCATTCGATAAAAAATAATCCATGCACTCAGCAATCCAGCAAAGTTTTGCGACGCCTCGCGCGTGTCACGAATGGCACGCAATATACAAAGTTCAACCCCAACAAAGTTTCCCAAATATCTTTTTCGCGACGATTTGATTTGTCATCGACCTTCCGAGATCTCGATAACAATGGTTCGTTGCAATGTATAGAAATTCAAAAGCAATTATTTTTTAAAAACAGTGTTACATTATAACAGATGATGTTCTATATCTATTTTCTTGTTATATTGATATTATTTTAATCAAATTGGAGTAAAATGCCATTTGCCGTCTGAGCTTAGATCTTAAGTAGCCTAATATTAATTCGATTGCATATCACGGTCTTATTTCTCTTATTATTAATATTATTTTATTAATATACATATTATATAATATAATACATATTATACATATTATATATATACATATTATACATATTATATAAATATTATACATATTATATAATATATACCGTTATATATGTATTAATATATTATAAATTCATGAAAGAATTGATCAAAAACAGAATTTTAATTAGTTGATGGTTGTCGATTATTGCGTCTCGAAAAAGTTACAAGAACTTACCTGTCGTGCTCGTGACCATAGGAAGGATTGATCCTTCGGGCGTATAGGGACGCGCCGCCTTCAGACATGTATCCGTCGCATAGATCCGAAAGGGTTCTGCTGCCAACGCTCATGCCGCCTCCGCGCAGCACCTCGCCGTCGCTCAGGTAACCGGAAGCGACGTCTACATCGGCGTAATCGTGATGACCAACATGATGATGCGATGATGAATGCAGGACGGTATATTGTCGGGTCGTGGTGCGGCTCGGTAGGGTCTGTAAACCCCGGGCCCCGGGCGTGTATCCACGGAGAAGAGGTTGCATGGGCTTCACAGTCATCTCGGCCTCATCGTCTGCCAGAGCACCACCGCACGTTGAACTTTCCGACAGTACCTTAAAAAAAAAACAAATAAAAATAAAGGACGTGTAAAAGTAACTTTTTATTTTAATTTTTATATTTATCAAATCTTAAATCAAATCTTTGATTTTGTGTTTTGAATAGTCGTCTGATATACTTTCAAAACACTGACCTTCAAAAATTTCAAAACACTTACCTTTTCCAACTGTTCAAACGTGGTGTCGATCTTCCGGTTAGGGATCGTCTTAATCTCGCTGCCGCTCTCGCTACTTGGCCTATAAATCACACTACTGTCGCTCGAGTTGCTCTGCCCGGTGCTGTTAGAATTGCTGTGCGAGCTTTCGGACATAAGGTCCGAAATACTCGGCATTGGCGACACCATTGCTACTGTGTTGGGATCGAGTTTGCGATGAAGAGTATCGCCGCTCTTTGGTTTGGTTGGCGTCGGCACTCCGCTGATTGTGCTGTTCTCTTTCGATGGTTTCGATGTACCTTTTACAAGAGCAGTAGGTTTCGGGATACTGGAACCCGGACTGAGCCCGGCCGGGTTCGGACCGTGAAGAGGACTGTTCGAACCTGCTAACGGTTTACTGGGCCCAAAGTTCAAATTGCTTTGCATGGGTATGCTCGTCAATTCGTCTTCGTTATTAGTTAGCTTTTCGGCAGCTACTGAGTCCACGCGATTAGTCGTTACAGAATCTTGTTTATCGTTGGAAACATCGATAGATTCTTCTTGCTCAAAAATAACCTTCTCCTGGTTTGACACTCGAGTTTTCGATGGTGAATCAAAGCTTTCCATCCCTGATTGCTGTTCGTGATTAGCTTCTAAAACTTCTGGCTCTTTCTGCTTTGTCACAAGATCCTTGCCGTCTGATAGATTCGCTTGGTTCATGCTTAGAGTGCGATTAAAAGTATCGTTCTCGTGGACAAGCGTCTCTCCCGGTTCGGACATTTTGATAATACCATTGGTATTTGCGAGAATAGCTTTCTGCATCATAAAGTCCTTGTTCAGACCATTTGGCGGTGGCTTCATACTTTGCAAATAAATTCTTGGATCCGGTATCTTGGCCGGAAGCTCCATCTTGGGCCTGGGCGAAAGTTTCGTCGTCGGGAGCTCGTTCCTCAAGTTCACGTTTTTAGTATCTAGAAGATTGATTTGTTTAGACGACGTTAGGGCGGAAGGATTCGGTTTCGGAGGCTGTACTACCGGTTGCTTCATCTGAAGTTCCTGAAGAGTCGGCGTTTTTTTGTCACTGGGTAATTTGGTGCCGATAGTTTTACCAACAATTTTAACATCTTGATCCACGATTGGATTATTATAAGACGCCGTCAACTTCTCCAAAGAGCTCGGCGGGGCCTTGCTTGTACGTGCAATCTTACTCTGGGCCTTGCTCTGCTCTTTCCTGCTTGTTTTCGGACTGGCCTGCTTCGCCGGTTTGGTCGATTGCAGTTTTGATTTCAACGCGCGACTCTTTGGCGATTCCTGAGCTTGGACTTTGCTCTGATCGCACAAGGAAGTTGAACTGTCTGAGTGTTCAGATCGAGCTGAAGAAAATCCGGAAGAACTGGAAGTGCGTTTTGAGACTCCCGACGAAGTCTTTCCTCGCTCTTGATTTTTATCTTTATTATTGAAAAGTTTAAATTTGTCCAATACAGAATTCTTGTTTGGCTGAGGTGCCGGGACAGTATTTCCAGAATACGGTAAGGCCTGTTGCTGAGGCCTCAGACCTCCGTTGGGTCGGCCTACTGTGGATGCTCGAGGGCTGCAAATTAATTACAAAAATTCAAATTAAAAATAGAAACAATATCTAAAAAGATTTCTGGTTCTTTAAAAATTTACATATAGATCGCAAATGTTTTTTTTTTCTGATTAAAGCAAACATTTCAAATAATAATATTTAAAAGATTATGTAATACTTGAAATAAAAATTATATATCTGCAATATAATACAAATACATTTTCGATAGAAGGAAGAATCCTAAACAATCTTCCTAATTCTATTACATTAAATTTCATTATCTAATAAATATTTTAATTTCTTTAAATAATAAAATTTAACGGCAATTGAAATCAAATGATTGGATTGTAAAAATATCTATCTTTAAATGTTGATTTTACCTTGGCGTAGTAGCTGTGGGTTGTCGATTTGTATTCTGACTCCTAGGTTGCGGAATGAACGAAAGACCGCCCTGAGACGGTTGTTGTTGACTCGGACTGGTGCTTCTAGAACTGCTCGCGCTACCCACACCGCCGTTCCCGTGTTTTAAACCTCCTGAAACAAAGAAATATAGGGAATTATTAACATCAGACTATCTTTTTGCGATTTATATACGTTTTTTTTATCAGAAAAGATATTTCATGTAATTATATATCTCTTATAATATCTACTATTTGTGTGTGAACACGCTAATATTTGCAATATGCAATGCATATCCACTGAAATAAATATCTGAAATAATTTAAAAAAAGAATATTTTTCTAAATAATATAATTAAATGTAACGATATTTTTATAAACTCACGAATAACTCAAAAGGAATAACTCGATGGTGATACTAGCAAAATTTCAACATATTCTAATATAAAACAATCTGTGCCTACGTTTAACTTTTCTAATATTAAGTCTGACATCGAAGTATAAGAGCAAAAAATCCTGGTTAATTTTTCTGTTGCTACGAGACACGTTTGTCGTTGGCTGAGGCTCAATAAGACGATAATAATTGGCCGCGTCATTAAATGCGCACAGTCGCGCGACTGTTGCAGCAGCTCGCTCGCTGCATGTGCGTTCGAATGGTGCAATGCGCGGTGCAGCGCACCGTAGACAAAATAAACCGTCCGTGTTTACCGAGAGCGAGGAGATTAATCCGCTACCTCATACTACCACCCGATTCGCTCTTCCTAGGTAATTGTAGACATTGTTTCTGTCAAATAATCCGCGTCAGCACGCAATTTGCCGAGCGATAATCTTGAAACGTAAATATGCGTGCGATTAATTATGGCGACTATATATGAGCCAGTGAGTTTAATGAAGATTAGTGATTTTAAATCCATCTGAGTAATTATAACATTAGACGAGAAAAAATTTTAAATAAATCTTAAATAATATCTTAACAACGATAAATGGTAAGTAATTTTGTAAAATTAAAAATTATTGTAATCAAAATCGGAATTAACCTTAGTTATTTCAAATTATAAAAAAATCTCTCAAATTCGCTTTTGTTCGCGATTTATTTCCTATATAAAAATTATTTTTGCTATAAATGTTAGTGTACAAAAAGTAGAAATAAAAAAAAAAACAAAGATCAAATTTTTAAATTTTTTGATGATTTGTCATTTACATGCGAAATTACATGCGTCGGTTTGACAACAGCAATCATTTTTCTTCATTGACTCGCTCGACAGTGATTTGCAGTAGTTACAAGTACCTAATTCATCAACCGTCTGAATTGTCCTTGCGTATGTGACACAAATGTGGTTGACACAAGACAAATGGAAGTTCTCGGTAATGCAGAAATCTTATGATGATCAACACGATCTTTTATCATTGCACATTTAACGCAATTATATCTGTCTTGTTTAATTAGTTTACTGCGATGACTCTAATTGTTTAGCGACGAAAGATTCTCCATTAATCTATTAATATTCATGTCAAGTATAATATATTTTTTAATAAACTCTAAATTATTAAGTCGCGATAGTAGAGAATTAAATTGATTTAAAAACTCGTTTTTTATACATCTTAAAGAAAAATCTTATAAATTTTACAACTTACTAATTTAATATATAGGTACATACGTTAAGAAATTATATATTTATAATGGTTTATATGTAAAAGATTATAATTGTAGAGATTCGCAGTAAGATTTAATAATGTTTCGAGATAAAGCCAGAACGTCATTCAAGATTAAACAAAGACATCCGTGATCCGTTTGATTCTCGTCAGCGAGTAAAGATCGAATCTGTGTTCGAAGCTGTTCGAAGCGGCCCTATCGAAACCGCCAGTCACGGGGTGTCGTAATAAATTCGATTCCTTTTTTTATTCAGTACACAAAGGAGGAGAAAGAGAGATAGACAGTTTAGGGGAGTTAAAACGTGACTGGGCATTCGCTCGCCTGTCACAAGAATGATTCATCGTGCGAGGCGATCGATCTGTCGCGATATTAGTGATAGCCGTGCACTGCGAATTTTCGAGGTAGAATCAAAGACAAATGTTCTCTCGGCGCCGGCGCTCTGATTATGCTAACATTTTGTCTAATAATAGAACTTACGCACGAAGATATGAATTGGAAAATAATGCTACCTATGAAAAATTTCTTTATAAGAAAATAATAGAAATAGAAATAAAATATAGAAAAATATATCTATGAAGTACTCTTCAAAAAAAAATTTTGATTAACAAAACGCTGAAAGTATTAATTAATAGAGTTTAATACGAAAAATTCTCGATGTATAATTAAGAACACATCCTACCGCTGAAGAATTCTTTGTAAGTTTCAGATTTCTTAGACGAATCTTGATCTCTGGAATACCCTGGGCGAAAACAGAAATTTTGTACATAGAGAATTTCTTGTGCGAGAGGATCAATGATCGTGACTGCACTCATTCACTCACTTCACTGACACTAACGTTCAGCGCTCACGTGTGTTCCCTTCGTTATCCTCTCATTGCTCCTTCCGCTCCCCCCTCCCCACGAGATAAGACAATATCGGCTCACATGGGAATGCAAAAGAGACGACCAGTTCCCATGATCGATACGACAGTAAACGTTGGCAAAGAAGTTGTTTAAAAGTTCACTGATTTTAATAATAGGAGCACAACTCCGAAAATTATCTCTAATCTTCTATCGATATATATGTACAGTATCTAACAAAATCATAAAAATTACTTTATAAGAATAGAATATAGACACTTTTATAAATGATATCCTTCTAAATAGTACTTTCTGAGCCTGACATAAACATATAGATCTTTTTTTTTAATAATTAAAGTTTTGAGAAATTGCTTTTAAATATTTATTTATTTTTACAAAGCTCTGGACAGAAATAATAATAATAAAATTCTGAAATTTTTATAATGCCTTGTAAAACGATTAATTAATTTATCATCTCTCAAAGAAAATGCTCAAAAAATAATTTTACAATTTCCAAGATTATTACAATTCAGAATATCCTTAATGCTTGAGATTGATTGGTGTTTAGCTAACTAACGATAAGTAACGTTCGTAGTTGCAGTTCGGGTCCTCTCATAGTCTCTCGCGCGCGTAAACTCATCTTTATACTTTATACGAGCTCACTCCCACCTTCTGGGAACCCCCTGGCCCCTTTGTTTTGAGAGAGCTTCGGAGCACGAGAGAACAGTGCATGCTGTAACGGTGTACATGCGTAGGAGCATCCATTTCGCGAAGCACGTGTGTACTAATACCTACGCGCTAACGTACTAGGAGTGCGACTGATAGGATGATTAACCACGGTGATGATTAGTCCTAAACATATCATCACTATGTGTATACAATGTGTGTCATATTTATATATCTCATTATATTTAATTTGTAAAACTGTGTTATATTTGTTTATTACATATTTTAATTAGAATGTAATTGTATAATTCACTACCCCGGTTTTATCTTCGACTTTGCGAAATTTTAGAAATGACGATTGGTTCGCTCTTTCTTGAGAAATCTCTTTTCGCCCTCAATGTAATTCACGAAATATTTCGGGTCTTATCTGGTCCATAACTCGAGATGCGCGGAAGTGAAATGGAACGCAATATTGCATGTCAAAAATTTATTTTTGTAGGTGTATCTACGAACTGTTCTCGTAGATGTGAAGCTAAGAGAACGTTTATAGCATATAAGCGCGATTTACCCTTGAGCGATTCTTTCAGATTGTCGAACATTTATTTTTTTTATATCGTCGACGAGTGCCACTTCGATCCCCTTTTCGTTTATCATGGATGGAGTTTTTTTTGCGAACGCTGAAGATAAAGATAATGCAAATGCATGTGTCTCGTGACAGAATAATAATCGATGTGATAAAACAAATGGATGATGTAAAAATCGCTTGGAGTATTAATTAAAAATGAGAATAATATTTGCTTAAACGATTTTTTAAAATCCTATTAAATTCAAACAGAAATAATAATATTTAAAAAAAAGCATATATAATTATAGCATATAACGTAATTAATTAAAAATACAATAAAATACAAAATTCTATCAAGTTATATTTTACTTATCACTCTTTAATTATACTTATAAAAAATAGAATATTTTGAAAATTTATTTCTCTTTCTCGATATGCAATTGTGTAGTGCTTGCGCATAAAAGTACACATCAGTAATAGTACTCACTGATCACATCATCATTAAACTATTTCATCATTGCCAGTCTTCCTTCTTTTTCTGCTCCTCCTTCTCTTTTTTATCTTTATTAATTAATATTTACTCTGACAGTGTGCAGAGTCGAAATTATCTTTAAGAACGAATTGAGCCGAGCGGAACGAAAGAGTGAGAGTGATTAGATACGCGGTTTGGGTTCAAGTTACATTTTGGCCCACCTTGAAAAGGCTGCTGTCGAAGATTAGAAGAGCCCTTAGAAGCTTCTTCGATGACTAACCTGACCTTTTTCAAGGAAAGTTCCACTATCGACTAGCTGTCGAAACGGCTTACTCGACAACTGGCACGTGTTACATCGCAATCGCACCCCGCCTTTTACTCGGGCTTCCAGGCCGATTAGCAGTCGACGGTCGACGCATCGCGCGGGGATGGATTCCTCTATCCCGATTAGAAGATTAGACGGAGATTAGATCATGACGAGATTAGATTAGAGATTGGACACGACGCATCTCGTGAAATGTATCTCAAAATAAGATTAATTCGAAATGCAACGTGTCACAATTTTTGCCTTCTTCAGTGTCCCTTCTATTGGTAAATATAAATCGAAAGAATCACAAAGCAATATACACAGTGATAAAGAATAATTTAGTATCATTGGATTGATAAAGATTTACATACGTGGACTTTTATGATAAAATAATGATTCCGGTCCATAAAAAATACGACCGTTGGGATCTGTCGCACCCCATGATATTTCTATATTCGTATTAATATAGTTCCCAATGAAGGGGAGAACGGTGAGAGATACGGAAAATAAATGAATTTTCCTCGCAAATAAGCCGACGCGCTGGCAATAAAACGAATCCGACTCTACACAAGAGAGACAAGCTGTTACACGCGGTCATTAATGAAGTTAGTACCTTGTTCTTTTACTGTGATC